AATATAATTGCAATGTATTAGATCCAACAATGCAAAATCGGTTTTGCTGCGAACATAAATTTACCATACTGTAGGTACGTCTATAATTATGTACGAAGACAGCCTGAGTAGATATACCGTTTTTAAGTTTTAGACGATAGACATCATCTTTAAATTACTGYATAACATCAACACATAATATTATGGTAATATACTGAATATTTAGTAAAAAATGAAATCTGTTATTCTCTCGGGCTCACAAAAGTTTCACCAATAGACATTTTAGTAGCGACTCGTATAAACTATTAGGGATCGATAAAACGATGGTATATTATAGTACAATATTATATGATGATATTTTGCTTGCAATGGAGCTCACCTGAAATATGCTGTCGATCACCATGTTGCCCTGCTCGATTGGCGGCAACTGTCTTTTGGCCCTATACGACCGTGGTTTTTCGATCAATGAACCGTCCACGCCAGTCGAGTACATTGTGTCGGCAATCAGTTTGGATGCCAGGATAGTGATGGATAGTGCGATGAACAGTCGGACSGACAACGTTACGTCGTCGGTGGCCGTCACGTGCGGTTTCACGCCCAATCGCATGGCCTCCGATGTGCCGTGGCACGTGCAACGCAAAGTTCTTTCTGTCCGCTTCGGTACGTTAGCAACAATCGTAGCGTTGTCTTCCGGCGCCGATGCTGACGATTCCGGTACCACAACTAATGCAAGTGACGGTATCGGTCGCTGATGTCGAAGTCGGCGGTGACGTTGGTACGGTGGTCGTGTCGGCAGAATCGGTTGTACCGGCGTTGCTGCGAAGATCTCTGCGTACGAAATGATCGTGGCGTCGCCGTGGTCAACAGGCATGCACATGTCCAAAGCGCCGTATGTGAGGTGGAGAGGGGAAACGCCTATGTACTCATCGCGTTGTGTAACCGCGGGCAGAGTGAGGGCGGCACGAGTCGACGGCGGTTGCTCAACGGATCTGTCTCGAAGTCGCGTTGCCCAACGTGCGTTGGCGGAGGAGAAAACGACCGTCTATCTGTATCCCACGCTCTCAGAAACTGCAGCAGCAGCAACCGCCACCACTCGACGTTCGATTTATGCTTCAGCTAGCGATCATTAAGATCGTATGACTCGCGATATCCCAGGCCTATCATTAGATATTTTTCACTCTTAATCGAAAATTTTAATTCTGTTCTCCTCACTACTGATATTTATTTAATTTTACCCAACAGTTGTACCTTGTATGCGACCCTAAAGCCACGGATGACTTGCTTGTAACCTACCGACGGACCTTAATCTTAATATCCCTTAACCTGGGTAGCCAGGCGATCCAAATAGGTAGTTCTTCCTCTAGAATGTTCAGCACCATGTACGGCAATGGTATAAGATATTCATCCATCAGTATGAAAACCAAACTTAGAGGTGGCATACCGGAAATTAAGGAATCCGTTTTGTTACGGTCTGAGATTATTTATTCGACGACGTCATGGTATGTATCGCGAAAGGAAACAGAGAGCGAGTTGTGGTTACAGAACAGTAATATTATTGATGTTATTGTTGAAGAACATACTCATCTTCCATTCTGTGTTGTGTGGGAAAATTGGTGCMGGTTATTAGGTTACTAACCACACGCCAACGCWTCGATTTCTGACAACTAATTATATATCTATCTCTCTTTACTCGAAATATCGATTACGGAATTTTATCATAATCGCACAATTATACTACGRTTATGCAAAAGAAGGTGTGTGTGTATTCCTACTTACTTATTGATGCGATGGTATTGTGTAGGTCGTTGTTACCATTGCTGTTCGCTTGGTCGGGTGGGCGCGGCTACATTGTAATGAAATATTATACGTGCGATTTTTCAGCACGTTAAAGCTGCAAAAAGTTGCGGATCTGTGTAAAAAACTGTTCTTGCACTACATGGAAGTATTACTTTATTATAATTGTACGCACTACACTAAACGCTACACACTACTCCAATGCGTGAAAATAGGTCACACGGACTAGGGCGTCTGAACGGGTGTTGAGTTGCTGATGAACTGCTTAGAATCATAACACCCAGTCGGGTGCGATTCCTGGGTGGTGTGCTGGCTTTTCCTAGCTAATTGCGCATGCGCGGATCCTGCAGGGTGGTGTTCAGCTTAGTGTAGAAGCTGCTACGGGAAATAGGATATTCATATTATATAT